AGCGATATCTTCCCCTAGTGGAAGTAGACATTAATCCTGAACTCTGGGCAACTAATGGGATCATTGGAGAAGCAAAATCAGCCCAACCAGTGCAAGTTCATCTTAAAGACCCTAATTACTTCCCTCATAAAAGGCAGTATCCCTTAAAACCAGAAGTTCGTGAAGGTTTAAAGCCAATTATTAATAACCTGAAAACTCAAGGCCTCTTGATAGCCTATAACAGTCCCTGCAACAATCCCATATTAGGAGTACAAAAGCCAGACAGAAGCTGGCACCTTGTACAAGACCTGTGAGCCGTTAATGAGGCAGTTGTGCCCCTTCACCCTGTAGTACTAATCCCTACACCCTGCCATGCAGGATTCCTGAGGGAGCAGCAGGGTTCACTGTGCTAGATCTGAAGGATGCTCTCTTTTGCATCCCGCTTGTACCTGAGTCCCAGTTTCTCTTTGCCTTTGAGGATCCTGTAAATCCCTCAGCTCAATTAACCTGGACAGTTTTGACCCAGGGATTCAGAGACAGACCACATCTATTTGGGCAAGCCTTAGCCAAGGACCTGGCCTCCTTTGATTCAAGGAAGGCAGAAATCATCCAATATGTGGATGATATACTTCTCTGCACTACCACAGAGATGGAGTGTCAAGAAAATACTCAAAGATTACTGAACTTTCTGGCTGATTGTGGCTATAAGGTCTCTCATCAGAAAGCACAAATCTGTCAGCAGCAAGTGAAATATCTGGGTCTTAACCTCTCAGGGAACTAGAGCGCTGGGAGAAGAAAGAATCCAACCCATTCTCCACCACCTGTTGCCCTCTACTATCAGGCACCTGAGAGGATTCTTAGGCATCACTGGGTATTGAAGAATTTGGGTCCCTAGATATGGGGAGTTAGCTAAACCCCTCTACCAACTCCTTAAAGAAGCCCAAAAAGAAGGCACTGTAAAACTCCAGTGGGAACCTGATGCTATTAAAGCTTAGGAGGCTTTGAAGAAAGCCCTGCTCCAGGCCCCTGCCTTAAGCCAGCACACTGGAAGTCAATTTAACCTATTTGTTACTGAAAGATCCGGAGTGGCACTGGGAGTACTAACTCAACCTCGAGGGGAAATGCAGCAGCCTGTAGCCTATCTAAGTAAGGAATTAGACCCAGTAGCTAAAGGCTGGCCACACTGTCTGAGGTCTATGGCAGCCGTTGCCCTGCTAGTACCTGAAGCCACAAAATTGACCCTGGGAAGAGATTTGATAGTGCATGCACCCCATAACATCACCAGCTTACTAAACACCCGGGGAGACCTGTGGCTGTCAGATAGCAGGCTACTAAAATATCAGTCACTCCTCCTTGAGGGCCCTGTCACCCAGATGCAGACATGCTCCACCCTAAACCCAGCTACCTTCCTGAGTCCATGAGCAAAGGACCTGAACATAAGTGCCAACAGGTCCTTGCCCTAAACTATTCTGCCAGGGAAGACCTAAAAGACACCCCCTTAGAGAACCCAGAGCTTGTCCTCTTCACAGACGGCAGCTCCTTCATTGAGCAGGGCCAGTGGAAAGCTGGCTATGCAGTTGTCACTCTGTGGGATACTATCAAGTGCCAACCACTTCCACTGGGCATGAGTGCCCAGCTGGCAGAATTAATAGCCCTCACTAGATCTCTCAAAATAGGGAAAGGAAAGAGGGTCAATATATATACTGACTAAGTATGCCTACCTAGTGCTGCATGCCCATGCAGCCATATGGAAAGAAAAGAGATTTTTTAAATTCTGAAGGCTCCCCCACAAAATACCATAATGAAATTAACCAGCTAATACAAGCTGTGCATGAGCCTAAAGAGGTAGCAGTTATTCACTGCAAAAAAGCCACCAGAAAGGAATGGATGAAGTAACAGAAGGAAACAGGCGAGCTGATACAAAAGCCAAAAAAGCAGCTCGAGAGACTTATAAGGCACCTATCCAAGCCCCTCTCTTATAGACAGGTGTGCCAGCTGATATTATCCCCAGCTATACTAAAAAAAAGCTGCAAGATAGCCTCTCCAAAAGTGGCTCTCTTCTTCCCTCTGGTTGGCTTCAGACAGAAGATGAGAAAATGTATTTACCTCAAAATACAGAGTGGAAAGTTCTTAAAACTTTACACCAGACTTTTCATTTAGGCATAGACAATACCTATCAGATGGCCAAAAGGATTTTTGCAGGCAATGGCCTATTAAAGACCATAGAGCAAATCACTAAAACCTGTGAGATTTGTCAAAGAAATAACCCATTAAATAGAAAAGCCGCTCCTCCTGGTTTACAGTGGACAGGCAGATACCCAGGAGAAGACTGGCAAATTGATTTCACACATATGCCAAAGGCAAAAAGATTCCAGTATCTTCTTGTGTGGATAGATACATTCACAAGATGGGCTGAGGCCTTCCCCTGTAAAACTGAACAAGCAAAAGAGGTAGTAAAAATACTCTTACATGAAATTATTCCCCGCTTTGGAATGCCCCAAAGATTGCAAAGTGACAATGGCCCAGCATTTAAAGCAGCCGTGACACAAAGAGTGTCCCGAGCTCTTGGTATACAGTATAATTTACATTGTGCTTAGGGGCCACAATCCTCAGGTAAAGTAGAAAAAACTAATGATATTATTAAAAGACACCTAAGAAAGCGGTCACAAGAAACTCACTTGCCCTGGCCTGACTTACTACCTTTAGCCATGATAAGAATAAAAAAAATACTCCCAGAATTTCGTGGTTAAGCCCCTTTGAAATGCTATATAGAAGACCTTTTTTAAAGAATGATTTAATCATAGACAGAAGTCACAGAAATAATCCGATATGTGACACACCTAGCTAAATTTCAGACACTCCTTCAAAACCTAACTGAAGGACAAAACAGAACCTCTAGGGAAGCCCTCTTTGAACCAAGAAACAAAGTCCTAATTAAGTCAATTCCTTCTAATTCTCCAACTCTTAATCCAATCTGGGAAGAGCCCCGCACTGTTATACTCTCTTCTCCTATGGCCGTTAAGGTCACAGGTATCAAAGCTTAGATTCACCATTCCAGAGTAAAATACTGAGAAGATTCCTCTCAAGATCTCCCAGACAACACAAATACAGAAAAACCTATTACACAGAACACCAAAGTTCAAAGACCTGCGTATGCCTGTGAACCCATAGAAGACCTGAAACTACTGTTCAAAAGAAAATCCTCAACTACCCGTATTTGAGATAAGTATTCCATACATATTTTTTCTTTTTTTCCTCTTTTGAGTAATCAATATGAGATCAACATTGCTTTTCTATGTGCTACTCTCTAATGCTCCCTTCATAATGAATGAATCTAATTCTTTCTTAAATTGGGCTGAAGACATAGCCAAGATAAATAGAAGTTCATCCTGTTGGATATGTAGATTACTTCCTGTTTCCAGTACCTCAGGAATCCCTTGGGGGATGTCTCCTCTCCAGAGACATGATTGGTCGCAGTGACAAATTCTTATAAATGATGAACGCACTGCCCAAAGCACAGTTAGTGCTGGAATAACTAATTGGAAGGTAAAATTCTGGCCCATTAATAATACTCTAAGAGACAAAGGGCATAAATTTCCCTTCTCATATAATGTCACAAAAAATTTAGCCACCATTATTGCTCTACCCCAACTACAAAATGCATCTAATAGACCAATTCTCCATGCAAATAATCACAGATATGAAAATGGTTTTTTTCAAATTTGGGATAAGTACATTTGGGTTACTCCAATGGCAGGACGCTTAAATCAGAAAGCCCCCCTCTGTTGGGAGCAAAGAAACCATTCTAATGACTATCACCCAAGCCTCACCCGATATTTAGGTTGGCTTCCCAAAGACCCCTGTTCACATACAGTAACAAGCTACAGATTGGTTTGCCACAGACTAGTTAAGGCGCCCTGGAATCCGTTGGCCAGCCCCAAATGGCACCCACTGGCTGTGTAGAACTAATCTCTGGCCGTGGCTTCCTCCAGGGTAGATAGAGAAGTGCACTCTGGGATTTCCCTGGATGCAAGGACGGTAGGTAAAAAATATCGCACACCCCGCAAACTTCCCAAACCTCCAACATCGTTAGACAGAGTGTTTTTCATTGGTATGATCACCTAGCCTCCATTTTTATGCCATCTCTTAGTTTAGAAGATGTAATTTAGCATATTGAGTCCTTAAACAATTTTACTCAAAAAGCCTTAAATGATACTATCCAAGGAATAGCTCTCCTAAATACAGAAGTTAAACTAATGCGCCAAGCAGTTATACAAAATAGAATAGCATTAGACATCTTAACAGCAGCACAAGGAGGAACCTGTGCCATAATCAAAGTTGAGTGTTGTGTGTACATTCCAAATTATTGGCAAAATGTCTCTAATTCACTCCAAGATCTCCGAAGGCAGATCCAAGCTATGTCAGGTCCCGAAACCTCATGAATCACTACAATAGGAAACTGGCTTTCTACAACCGTTTAGTGGAAATCCATTTTACTCATCGAGCTCATCATTATCCTAATACTAATATTTGGCCCCTGTATACTTAACCAAATACGATTTGTTCTGTCTCACCTAGAAGCCATAAAACTGCAAATGGTGATAGAAATAGAACCCAAGATGGAAATGCCCATCTTCCGAGGCCCTTTTGACCCACCACTGGTAGAAAGCTAACTGCACCCCTTACAGTGTCCCTTCTCAGCATGAAGCAGCCAGAGCGGTTGTCGCTCCCTTTCCCTAGCAGCAGCTAGGGTCTCCATCTGTAGAGGGGAGAATGAGACAGGGACCGTGGGTATAGTCAGAGTAAGGTGAAAGCCTCCAGAAATAGACCCCTACCAAAACTCCATGTTAAACAACTAAACAAAGACAGAATCACACTAATTCTCTGAAGTAAAGTATCAAGCTAAGAATATAAGCATTCTTCAATAAGGATTAGTCAAAAAAGCCAGGAATGACCTAGCCTGGAATGTTTGAACATCCCCCACATGAGAAAATACCTCAGCATAGTCCATGTCTTGTTTGTGTCAATTAAATGACACAAGAATGTTAAATATTCAAGCAAGAACCTCGGCATCACCATCTTGTTCCTTCTTCCATGCCCAGCGGAGAAACTGCCAGAAATTAATAGCAGTGATACTGGGGTTCTTGTTCGTGGAGTCGAAGGATGAACTTTGCAAACACTCAAGGTAGGAGAGCCAGGGAGAGGCTTTTATTTAGAGATACAGTGAGACAGCAGAGCTCCTGGCTCACAGCAGGAGGGGACAAGAGAGTCTGTGGTGGTGCATTGTCCAGGGGGTTTGTGTGTGGTTGAGGATTTTTAGGAATGTGGTAAAGGGTTAAGGGTGCAGACTTATTAAGTGGTCCCAGAATGGTCATTTTTTATGAGTAACAGAAGAAATTTGCGGCTCTGATTCTTTCTCAGGATAGTAGCTTCCCTCTGGGAGTGTATCAATGAAGACTGCCTGCCCTGCCCCCAGGGTGGGCTGGGTTGTTGTCTGTTCACTAAAGAGTGTGTTAAGAATCTTACTTCTTAAATTTTGGAGATGTTTATAGCTGGGCTTGCTTACCAAATTAATCTTTTGCCCAGGTTGCAGAGTACTTGATTAGGATTATAGAAGGAAAAACAATGTATGGGTACAGTTAAAAATAAACTGGGCCTTTTAGCAGGCCAAGGTAAATTTTACAGTGTCATGATCTACTTGACACAATGGAGTCACAGGTTATGCTGAGGTACTTTATCTGGGGAACATTTAAACATTCCAGGCCAAGTTGCTCCTGGCCTTTTGAGCTTTAAATGACTTCACTGAAGAATGCCTATATTCCTAGTCTGGTATCTTGACCCTAGAGAGTTAGTATGACTTTGTAATGCTTAACATGGAGTTTCAGAGTTTCGGTAGGGACTTCTTTGCACATGTTTACATTGTTCTGACTGTAATTATCTTGCTTTGTTTTTTTCTGGAAGCCCTCACCCTACTCTGCCTAAACCCACAGTCCCTGTCTCAGCAGTGCTGAATATAAAAGGAATATACAAAAGTAAAATAAATAAATAAGGAATATACAAAAAAACATTTATTACTGTTATTTCTGCACTAACAACCACTAATAGCTGTGGAAATAAACAAGTAATCCCCAACATGAAAATATACCTGATGTTGGTGTTCTTGTTCACAGAGTCGAAGAATGAACTTCACAAACACTCAAAGTAGGAGAGCAAGTGAGAAGCTTTTATTTAGAGATAAAGTGAGAGAACAGAGCACCTGGCTCATGCCAGGAGGGGACAAGAGAGTCCATAGTTGTGTGTTTAGGGATTTTATAGGCGGTTGAGAGACAAAGGGCTAGGGATGCAGACCTGCTAAATGGTCCCCAAATGTTTGTTTTTGAAGAGACACTAAGTTTCTTATCAGTCTTCTGGGTTATTTTGCAAAGTTAACTTAACACAAGAAATGTACTGCTTTGATTCTTTCCCAGAATAGCAGCTTCTTGGTTTGGGAGTATATCAGTCAAGACTGCCTGTCCTGCTCCCACGGTGGGCTGAGTTATTGTCTGTTATGTTAAGAAACTTACTTTTTGACTTCTTGGGTTTTAAAATGCAATCTTATTTTTAAGATGGAATCCTTCCTGTTTTTACTATGTTGTTTATGACTGGGCTTGCTTGCCATTTTTCTTGCCTACGTTGCAAATTACTTGAGTTAGGGCTGGAGGAAGAAAAGCAGCATCTGGGTAAAGTTAAAGAAAATAAACTGGGCTTTTTAGCAAGCTAAAGTAAAGGTGGTAATATGTAAGGTGCTATTAATAAAGGTATATTCAGTGTACTATGGATAGGAAAATTTTAACCTTATGATATTCATACAATTATAGAATGAGGCAAATCTGTACTAACATGAAGATACTCATAAACATCTCTACAAAGACAGGTATGTATAAGCACAGAAAAAAAACCAGTACATTATACTGTTTACAGTGATTGACTTTGGGGAATGGAAATAGAAATGGTAATTTGACTTATTTTTCAGAATAATTCAAGGCAAATACACACCCTTGCTGCCCAGTCTTATCACAAAAGCAATAATCTGCCATTGTTTTGAGTATTTTCAAAGAAACATTTAATACTTTTGTACTAAGGGAAAAGAAAGGAGAGGGAAAGAACAGTGCTAAGTTTCAGAGATCACATTGACCTGGGTTTAAAGGGAAAATAGGGCTTCTCCAGAGCAGAAAAGGACTATGAACAGCCACTGCAACTTCAACCAAAAAAGCAGATATGATTTGAGGACGACTTTGAAGGTGACTGGGTGAAAGGTAAAAGCCACTAATTCTAACAGGTAATAAGCTCAGTATGGAAAGGTTCATTTTCAATAGCTGGGGTAGGCATTAGGAACTGGAGCTCAGAAATTGATACTCCTCGAGTTAGTTGATAGTTAAGGTAAAGTTGAGGAATTGGCAGGAGAGCTTATAAATGGAGAAGCAGGCCAAGGATAAAATCCTAACAGTAGGCAAAAAACAAGGAGCCGGTGTAGGAAATCGAAGAGATCAAAGAAAAAAAAAAAGGCAAATGCATGTAAATCTGAGTAATTTTGAGGAAGGACTCCATAGAGAAATGAAAATTGAGCTCTAAGTTTTATTTTACTAGATAAGCTTAAAAGAGGTCTTCATTAAAGAAAACCAAAGGATAGCATGTTGTGGTTAAGTTAGGTCAGTAATCATGGCTTTTCTAGTCAGTTTACACCTTAAGGAAAACAGCAGAATATGATACCTGAACCTACTATCTAGGGATGTGCTTACCAAAAGGGAAGCCACACACGGCCTAAGATGTGATTATCTGAAATATGGTTAGGGCAAATTGAGGTGTTAAGTGTAAAGCACACAATGGATTACACCACTTGTACAATAAAGTAAAATACCACTTCTTTAAATAAACTGGAGTAAGTCACCTCTTTTTATCTTTCAGTGTAGCTCCTATTTCTTTGGGACAGCACTGAGTCTAGTCTTTTGGTACCATTTACCATCATCTTGCTTTATTGTTCACAGGTGATATTAGTTGAGAGTATCAAGTCTGGAGAACTGCATCTCACGTAATGACAGCCAGTCTGGAGGTATGTACCACCAGTTACACTGTAATAAAGTCTAGGAGAGAATGAAAATAGTACTGGCCAGGCGCAACCAACAAGGTCAAGTTAGACGAGGACAAATTGATGGGCCAGTTATGAAAAATACCCATGTAGCCACTAGCCACACATGGCAAGTAGCTAATATGATGGAGGACTGAATTTTAAGTAAACACATGTGGCTAGTGGCTATTGTATTGGAAAGTTCAAGTAGAATACTGGACAACACAGCTTTAGTTAATAACAATTTAATTGTTATTATATAACTTGAGGACCTTCACCACCTTTAAAATAACTCCTACTTAAAAATTTAGGACTTCAGCTTGTTCACCTATTCATCTGTCTTTCCAAGTTACTTGTTTTTTGCCTGTAATATTCTGCCCATCCTGTTCTCTAACTTGTTATCCTTGCCTATTGGAAATCTTTCTGATTTTTTCTAAATTTAAGAGGCGGTTCAAGATGGTGGCAAAGAAGCAACTAGGAAAGAAAAACATACCTTGTAAAAAAAAAATTATAGGAAAAAAATAAAACCATGCAGTTTCTACCATTTTTACTTACCTAGATTCTACACATGACATGTTTTGTTGCTAAAGCCCAGCACATAGCCACAAATAAAGTTGTAAGTTGGCACCTTATGTTCAAGCATTTAAGTCAAATAATACTTGCAAAGATCTAAAAAATGGCTTAAGTATTTCTAGTTTAGTGTCTGCCAACATGTATTAACAGGCAAAAATTACAAGTCTGTAATTAGTCTATTTAGACCAACTGCATCTTTTTTCAGTTCATAATTAAGGGTAATATTCACTTTAAATGTTACTAAATCTCAGATTTTATAGCTCAACTGGGTCATTTCCATTTCACCCTCTTTGGCTGAGTTTCCTACCCTGAAGTTCAGAGTAACTCTTCTAGGATAACACTATGCCAATATTCCATAAATTTTAGACCAAATTTCTCTAATTTTAAAGAGAATTCATATCAATTAGGAACAGTTAAGATTCAGGTTCTAATTCAGGTCCAGGCTGGCAACTTGAAATTGAGCATTTCTCACAAACTCCCACGTAAGGTCAGTGAGCCCTATACACTGTCAGTTCATGGTCTTGGACTTGGGATTAGCAAGCCTTTTAAAAAGTTATCTTCTTTTTCTTCTACATAAATAATTACCCATTATGTAATATATATATAATAAAGTGAGGCCAAAATAACAAAAAAATTTTTATTTAAGAATACATACAATACAAACAGCTCAATTACTGTGTCTTAGGAATTTCACTTAAATATAACCTATCATTAAACAAAACATTTACAAGTATATATACAAGACTCCCCTGTATGTAACATCTGGTCCATTTGTGCTTTCTCAGATCTGTAAGGAAACCTAAATGTTAATATTTAAGTATTTACATCTTTTTGTGACATGGTAATTTCACCAATTACCAGTAAATGGAATAATGATAGAAACACAAATTTGTAGTACAATGCACTTCAGGCCGTCTTAGCCCTTTGCTTTCTTTTAGACAGGTATCCACAGTCCATATGGACCTTTTTTCCCATCTATTTTCAAGGATCCTGTAGAGGTCACTTCAGCAGTAGCTTTAGATGATTTCTGAAGCATTGGCTTGGCTACAGAATTCTGGAAGGGAAATTCTTAAGTTAGCTTCCTGAACACATACACTGTACATACTTAAAATATTTGGTTTTTACAAAATACATTAATTGATTTAAGATCAAAACTTATGAGACACTAATAAAATGCAAAGTGTGACCCTTATTTGTAACTTGATCCAATCAAATTGTAAAGGCAAGGAAGTATGGGGGGAAAATTAGTTGTATTTGGGAGTGATGAAGTGTTTATAAAATAGTTTTGAGATTTTTTTTAAAGCTCTTATCTGATTTAAAAATATTCCAATTCTTAAGATATTGAGATTTTCTTTTTAAACATTTCAATAATTACAGGATAAGGTTAAATATTTTTTTAAATTGAAACACAGAGTGAAGATATTAGATGTAGAAGCCCATTATACTGGTCATTTGTAAAAATGGCAAACACAAAATATTTAAGCATCTATAAAGTGGCTTAAGAGGACCAAAAACCCTATCTCCACAAAGACAAAAATGATGGCCCTTCTAAAAAGCCCATATTAGGAAAATATGTTCTAAGTCCAATTTTTGAGAGGTCAATACTTAGATATACTTACATTAGAGCTAAAAGCTATGTTTTTTTGCTGGGAAGATTTTTCCTTGAGATATTTAGTTCCATCTTCCGTTAGCTTTTCCAAAAGCTAGACAGGCAAGAGAAAGTGTATTTTTTACAGACCATTACCCTTGGTTTACAATACCATATAAAAAGCAGCCCAACTGTATATAAATTTAATTAGAAATATAAATCAAGTTGGATCTAACCAACAGCCTCAACAACATAGTACTTGTTAGTTTCCTGGGTAACAAAACTGATTCAATCACTGGCTTAAGACACTCTTTCCCATAAAGCAGAATTGTATTCCCTTGATGCAAATTCAAGTTAACTTTGAAAGTGAAGTCATACCAGAAAATACCTAGTTTCAAACAAGTAAGGCATTTGCCCTTTGGGCACACAATCATCTGAAAAAGCAACTAAGATCTTATCTACTACTAATATTTAGCAAATCTGTATCTGGGTCCAAATGGTAGATTCACCTTGATAACACTTACTTCCTGTGTTAACTGAATCTATCAATTCCTGACTACCTTGAATCTTTAAGACCTTTATGCTTTGGATTTCTCATAATTAAAAGCCCAGTGCAATTTGCCAATGCACATCCTGCACATTTCTGGAGAATTATAATAAACTTATCTGCAAGTGAAGTAGGCCTCTTCTTCTGTAATCTCTCAAAACATCTGGAATATATTGCATATATTATGAAAGGGACATCTATATCACAGATGCCCAACATTACAAAGTGTACTTCAGTTCAAAAATTTTTTAGTATCTTATCCAAATAGTACCTGTCCCAATTCTAGCACGCACATTGATATACCAACAAAAACTATGCTTTCAATGTGTGAAAATTTCAAATTAGTTAAACCTCTGATGCTTTTGCTCATGTATCAATTACCAACAGATTTTCTTCATCAATGTCTGGAGACCACATTCATGATTTCTATAAGACAGAAATAAAGCAGATCAACTATACTGTACGTTGAGTACAGAATTTGTGGGAACAATGCCGCAAATGAAAGCTACAAAAAAAAAATACTCTGTAAAGACTAGGTAGAAAAATTTGATAACTACACAGAAATTGTCAAAGTACCAATTACATTTTGAAAGTAGTGCTGTTGTCAACTGAAAATAAAAGTCCACTTATCTCCCATTTTCATGGAGGAGACACCGTATTGTCAGATGTGTATTTAGCTAGCCCTTCCAAGTAGTCTAAGGTAATCAAATGAAAATCGCAGTAACTTTCTGAAGATTTTGTTTGGATAAACCTAAATACTTACCTCAAACTTTGCACCATTATTTGGTAGAGCTGTACTACGGTTTGTTTCTTTAGGTACATAAACAGTTCTGAGACTAGCTGGCAAATGAAGGTGAGCTGTTCCTAAAGCTTTTGCGGCATTGGCTTTTGCTATTTCTAACAGCTCCATTCGATCTACAAAAGAAAAAACACAAGACATTCAGTAATTCTGTGGTATTTCCCCAAAAGGACTCAATCACAATACAGCAATATAAAAAGTTGTAAATACTATTTCCATGTGTAAACTGTTAACCTCTATCCATGTAAAAAAAATTCTCTAGCTTATTTTCTGAGAAGCACCCCTAATCTCAACAACTGGTTTTCAGTCTTCCTTACCAAGGCCTGAGGTTTTTCCTTGCTCTTCAAATATGTATTCTGAACATGGTTTTTTATACAATATTTTTAATACGGTACAATTGTCATATCTAAAACCAACACTTCAAAGTCCATTCTCAGGCTGACTTGTTTGCTTTTTTAAATACCGATTATTAGATCTAATCCCATCCAGAATACAAGTCATTCGTTTTCGAATACTGGAACAAAATCCCATTTTCCATATAGTTATCAACTATAGAAAGAACTTTGGGCCTTTTCTTACCGTTCGCACAGTCAACTTACAGAAGCTCTTGGGAGTAAAGTGGGGGAAACGAAGTCACTAATTTAGAAGGCCCCGTAAGAACTGCCAACCACTACGAAAAAGGGTTCTGTCCACCCCCAGAGCCATTTGACGCCTCAGCTGACCTTTAATCCCAAGGGGAAAGGACGTTGCCAATTTTAAAACTGGATGCCCCACGTAAACTAGTTTTAACCAATAACCTAATGCCCTCCTTCTTTCCTCCCAATGAAAGCTTTAACATCTCAGGAACCAAATGAAATAAAAATGGTGAAACTATACAGCAACGTTGGTTCCCTAGCCTACTCACAGTGTCGCCAAACACGTATAAAGGTGCAAACGCTGACGTTAACCGTGCGCCTCTACAACAAACTACTCACCTTTGTCACTTAACCGAAAGGGGGTTCGGCTTCGCGACCTCGTCCTGGCTCTCCCCCTCCAACTTCTGTGTTCCTCCGGGTGCACCGTGCGACCAAAGCCGTGGTGCCGGCGCCCCGCGGTGAGCGCGTAGGCCCTTGGGTAGTACGACCTTGCCCGAGATCGGGACCGGCTGCGGGATCGGTACCGCGAAGGAGACCGAGAGAACCTCCTGGAAGAGCCGCGGCTCCGCGAGTAGGACCGTGAGGAGCGCCTGTACGTCCTCTGGTGGCGCCTTCTGGAACGCGACCTGCTCCTCCTCCGGGACGACCACCGACTCGAGCCGCGGGACGGGGACCGCGAGCCGCTTCCGGAAGACGAGCGGCTCCTGGAGGCCGAGGACAGTCGGCTGGACTGGCCCGACCGGGTGGTCGAGAAGGAATCCTCCTGCGGCGAGCCCGGCCACAAATTCACGTAACTGGACATGACGCCTGCGGCTGTCAGCTCTCTTTGCTTCAAAGTCTCTTCCCCAAGTGTAGTCCCTAAAAACCAACCAGTGGGAGGGGCGTTAATACCCGGAAGCAGTGCCGGCGGCGCGCGGGTCCCGGACGGAGGAAGAATACGAGCCTCACGAACTCCAAAGGCTTCCGGCCCCGCACCGGCCACAGCTCACCGGCCTTAAGGCCCCATGACGCCCGGCACTTTGCCCTGCCACACACGCCTGAGGTACCTGCGTAAGAAAACTAACCAAGGGCCGCCGACCCCTCACGTAAGACGCAGAAAGTCCCGACGGACACGTTCCACCCAGGCGGAGGACGACGAGGAACTTCTTAAAGCAGCTCTAGATGAGTGACCAGCCATCCGCCCCAACGTCCGGGAGCGAACTAAGCGGGAATTCCGCAAACTGGTCGAAAGAACTAGAAGCTGGCTTCTGGCGCGTGCGCAGAGACGTTGGTGCGATGGGCGTGGCTCCCCTCACCCAACCGTCACCCTTCCTCCTCTCGCTCCTGCCTCCCGCCTCGCGCAAAGGCCTCCGTGGTGCGCATGCGCAATAACCTCGGAAGGGGAGAGGTGCCACTCCCTCCGGGTCTGAGGCGGTCCATGGCTGTTTGTTTTCTTGGCTGGAAATTAGGAGAAACTGAGAGGCTTGGCGCGGCGCCACACGGGTCTGTAGGATTGTCTGCCCGGCCGATACTGACCGAGTCGTTGCCTCCACCCTCTGGGAAGTTACAGACTCGAGCTGTGCCTCCCTGGCACCTTCCTCCGGACTCCGCCGCTGCCGGACCGCGCCCCTCCTCGAGACGTTACCGGATCTCTGTAAATGCAATATTAACTTACAACAGGTTGTTTTTACTCCCATGTTTTCATTAGTAAAGATAAGAACGGTGAAGTCAGAATGCAAAGACACACGTAGGTTACCTTTATAGTCTAGGGGGATCAAAATAACGCCTGAAATGTCTCTTCCAAGAACAGTGTGCTTGGTGTTGGGGGAAAAAACTATTTTTATTTGTAAATAGGATACATTCCAAACATGCTTATGGGTAATAAAACATGACAATTGCCTTGAAATAAGTTTTCACTGCATGAAGTACCGTATCTGTAAAGAAAGTTAGTTATATGAGCTTTTTTGAAAGTGAGAGTGGCATTTTTTACAAAAGCCAGTGTCTTTGGAAATACAAACTCACTTTTCTCTTGTCCATCTTCATCCGACATCCCCAGTCATACACAGATTAAAGGGAATAAAAAAAGCCTTATAACAGAATCTTAACCCACGCCTGTGATCTGCCTTACTTGGCATTGTCCAGAGGATATCATCGACATCGGAGGAAGCATGATGGAAATTGTTCTTAAGTGCAGAAATGCTTCTAAAGAAACATTTTTTCAAGTACTATTACAAATAAAATGAAAAGACACTGCCCATCTGCCAGGAACTTCTGCTTAACGTTCTCATAAAGCTATGTGAATGGACAGAAAAATCAGATTTGACAAGTGTAAAATGTGTTGGGGAAATAAAGTGACACTGCATATAAGGTGATGCTGTTGGTTTTGAACAAGGAAAGGGTGGTAAGAGCCTCTGTAGATAGTCCATAGTAACAGTCAAATGTGGGCCTAAAGTAAGGTGACTAGAAAAATCCTGGATGTTAGCAGTAAAAATAATGGAAACATACCTTGCCCTTGTGCAGAATACTGACTTATTTAGCGCAGACTACCTGAGTTAAAGTCCGCAAGGGATGTCAGTGTTCCTTTATTTTTCTAAACAATACGATCTTGTCAGCATTTATACTCACCTGATTCAAAATCCAATTTCAGTTATTGCACAGAATTTGTAGGCTAATTAAGGCAGAAATTACATCTTTACAATAGCACATCTTTCAATCCCAGAACGTGACACTTTCTACATTTATTTGAGGTTTTCTTTTAAATGTCCTTCACTGTGGTTGGCAGACTAATGTCCTTCAAAGATGCCCCTGCCCTAACTCCCAGAACCTGTGAATATGTTACCTTACAAGACAAAGAGATATTTGCAGATGTGATTAAGGCCCTTTAGATGAGATTATCCTGAATTATATAGGATAGACCCAATCTAATCACAAAACAGATTCAAAGCATGAAAAGTATTCCATGACCTGTTGCTATGTCTGAAATGTTGGGGGCCATTTGCATGGTACTAAGGCCTCTAGGAGCTAAGGATGGCTGCCAGCTGCCAGTCACCAAGGAAACAGATATCAGGCTTGCAGCCTCATGGAACTGAACTCTGCCAACACCTGAACGAACAGGTGTTCTCCCTGAGGCCTCCAAAAGGAACACAGTACTGCTGACACCTTGACTTTCATAGCCCAGTGAGACTTCTTACCCACAGAACTGTAAGACTACAAATTGGGTTGATTTATGCCATTAAGTTTGTGGTCATTTGTTACTGAAACAATAGGAAACTAACACATTAAGTTTTCACAGCTTTTTTCATACACATCTTGCACTTGTTGTACCAGGTGTATTTTCAAATAGTTTAATGGTATTTGTGGATTGTGAATAGGATGCTTTTTGTTATATGTTCACTTTGTTTTGCTTTATGTGTTTCAACAGGTGCACAAAAACTGAGCTAGGTGAGTGACACCTAGCTGAATTTTTAGGTCCAATATGAAAAACTTTTTTCATTTGATAGGTCAGTTCAACCAATGTACATTTATTATAACAGTAACATTGATCTTATCTCTTCCATTGCTATTATTTATTTTACTTTGCTTTTTTTCACTTTATCCCATTTGTTTTGCCAGTCTGATCAAGTATATCTTTTTCCCTCCCTCCCATTATTCATTTAGAGGTTCTGCAATGTGTCACCATGACATTATTGATTTAATGATTCTCTTGTTATCTCTACCAAGCCCATTTACTTATTTATTTATTTATTTTGGTATCATTACAATTATATGAGACATTATGGTTACTAGACTCCCCCCATCATCAAGTGCCCACCACATACCCCATTACACTCACTGTCCATCAGCGTAGTAAGATGCTATAGAATTACTACTTGTCTACTCTGTGTTGTACAGCCCTCCCTGTGCCCCCCACACTACACTATGTGTGCCAATCGTAATGCTCCTTTTCCCCCCTTATCCCTCCCTTCCCACCCCTCCTCCCCAGTCCCTTTCCCTTTGGTTAGTCCATTCTTGGGTTCTGTGAGTCTGCTGCTGTTTTGTTCCTTCAGTTTTTTTTCTTTATTCTTATACTCCACATATGACTGAAATCGTTTGATACTTGTTGTTTTCCACCTGGCTTATTTCACTGAGTATAATACCCTCTAGCTCCATCCATGTTGTTGCAAATGGTAGGATTTGTTTTCTTCTTATGGCTGAATAATATTCCATTGTGTATATGTACCAAATCTTCTTTATCCATTCATCTACTGATGGACATTTAGGTTGCTTCCATTTCTTGGCTATTGTAAGTGGTGCTGCGATAAACATAGGGGTGCATATATCTTTTTCAAACTGGGCTGCTGCATTCTTAGGGTAAATTCCTAGGAGTGGAATTCCTGGGTCAAATAGTATTTCTGTTTTGAGCATTTTGATGCACCTCCATACTGCTTTCCACAATGGTTGAACTAATTTACATTCCCACCAGCAGTGTAGGAGGGTTCCCCTTTCTCCACAGCCTCGCCAACATTTGTTGTTGTTTGTCTTTTGGATGGCAGC